CGCAACCCTCGGTGTTGCTCCCGCCCCTCGCTCAGCCAGTGAGCGGCCGGTCTGTATGTGGGATCTGAACCCTCGGCGGGAGCGCCGCCGCGCTTCCCAAGCGGCGCACTAATGCTGACTTTTAAAAAACAGCTTTATTGAGATTGTATTAGTCCATGTTTGTTGCTTATAACAGAATGCCTGAAACTGGGTAACTTATAAAGAAATAAAGTTTATTTCTTAGTTTTAGGGTCTGGAAATTCCATGGCTCAGGGCCATGATGAGGACCTTCTTTTGGCTGAAAACTCTCTACAAGATCCCATGGTGACCAGGATATTACATGATGAGAAGGGGCCGAGCAAGAGGGAGCTAACCTCCTCCCTTGCTCTCCTTTTAAAGTCATCAGAACCCTGCCCATTACTCCTAGAATTTTTTAATCCATTCATAAGGACATAGTCTTTACAATATAATCACCTCTTAAAGGCCCCACCTTTCAATTACCATAAAAGGATTTCCCACCCTCTTAACAAAATGGACATCAAGTTTCCAGTACATGAACTTTTGGGGTACACATTTGAGCTATAGCAGAGGTATATAATTGACATTCAATAAGCTGTATCTACTTAGAGTGTATAATTTGATAAATTTTGGCATATCTATGTATCCCTGAAACCATCATCACAGTCAAGGTAATGAACACAGCCATCACCTTCAAAAGTTTCCTTCTGCCATTTGTATTCCCTCCTTTGCTTTGCTACCAACTTCTCTCCTCCCAATCCTTGAACAAGATTGGTCTGCTTTCTGACACATGGAAATGTTAGAATTTTCTAGAATTTTTCATTAATGGAATCATTGAGTTTTAACTTTTTTGTTTGATTTCTTTCATCCAGCATAATTAATTTGAGATTCACTCATGTTGTTTTATGTATCAATAGTTCATAGATACTCTCTGTCATGTAGATGTTAAACCAATCTTGCAGTTTACCAGATAAACCTCACTTGATGTTTCAAGAAATTTGTCCATCTTATAGTTTATTGGCATAAAATTGTTCATCTTTTTTTTCCCCAAGTGCTATCTTATATAAAAAGAAATAAAGCAAAGCAAGGGGATAGAGAGTGATGGGGTAGATTGTCTTATAATGAATAATCTTTGATACCAGGAAATAAAGTATGTAGAATCTTTTTGGTAGAGAATTGCGTTTGGAAAGATTTTTATAAAAATTACTTAGCTTAAAAGGTTTGGCAGCTTAAGAAGGATACATTTAAATTATTTGGAAACTTGGCTTCCTTAGAACTTCCCATTCCTTGACAGTGTTGTCTAAATGAGGCATTAATGTAATTAGATTAAAACATGTCCAAAGTAACTTTGACTCTACCATGTAGTCTTCAGTACCTTCCCTCCTATATAATACAGAGAAGCTGCTCTTAAAACCTTACAGCTGAATTGTATTTTTAGATTTAAAGTAGCAGGAGGACTTCCTTTGATGCATGTGAGAATTTCTGACCAGAAGATGAAAGATGTGCTATGTTTGATTAACAGTATACCTTTGCCACAGAAATCATCTGTACAGTCTCCAGAGAGACAGGTAAATGGTTGTAATAAAAATGCTGAATTTCTTATTTTCGCTACTGTTTTAGAGTAATGGTGGAAAGTCAGTTTTAGGGAAAGTTTATATGTGAAAGGACTAAAAATAGAGGAATTAAAGGACAATGTCTTTCGAATCTGTTAACTGTGTTTTAAATAAAACTAGAAATAGAAAAATTTTTTTAAAACATTGTAAATGAAACAATTGGTGTGAAATTTCCTTATATTTTAGACTTACAAGTTCTAGGTCACTTTAATTGGCATTGGTCTTTACAGCATAAAGGAAATGCTGGATTTCTGTCTACTTTGAAATGAAATTTGAGAGGGCCAACTGATGGTGATACTATTTTCTGGGGACCCATAACAAAGATGTACTTTAATATTGTAATAGACAGAAGCTAAATAATACACAATGATAAATAGACTTACCGTCTAGAATTGTACATAGTTTTGTCCTTGTACATGCAAGTAGTAGTCTTAATAATTTATAAATCTCAGATAACCGTTAGTCAGTTGCATAATATGTTTTATTGGAAATTTTGTGTATTGTGCGTGTATGTGTCTTTCCATCTCTATCCTCTTTTCAATCTTTCTCTCATTTAAGTATATTTAATTCTGCTATAGCAGTATTTTTAAGAAAACTTCTTGTATTCTTTGCTAGGTGTCCTCAATTCCAGTTATTTCAGGTGGAACAAAAAGTCTGCTTAATACTTCACTATTGCTAGATGGAGTGGAATCAGGTAAAGAAAGTAAAATATTCTTTCTCTATTAAACCAAGCATATACATTGTTATACAGAGGTACAACTTTCAGAAAATAAGGGAACTCTGAAAATTTTACAGTAATTTCCTGATTCTAGTTCTAGTTGTGCTACTAACCAACAGTGTGGTTTTGGTCACTTGTCTTTTTTAAGCCCCCAAATGAAGGGATTGACAGTGGAATTTTGTGATCGACAGTGCTTACTTACGATTTTGTGTAAGCTACTTTTTTGGTCCCAGTCTCTGTGATTCTTTTCTCCGGCTTTGGCCTAACTGGTCTCTTTTAATTTTGAACTAGAATGTAAGTTTCATGAGGACAGGACCTTATCTATTCTGGTCACTCTGGTGTCCTTTGTGGCTGGCACAGCCTGATTCATGGTAGATGATGCCCAGTTAGTATTTTATTAAATATTGAATGAATGAACTAAAGCCAAAAAAAAAAGAAGAACCACTGAAGAAAAGATAGTAGTGCTGTTTTATTTTAAATATGATGATCACATCCCAGGCTGAGTCACTTTGTGGGACTTTAAAAAAGCATTGAATATGAAGATTATATCTAATAAATTAATTTTACTTTGGGGATGTTTAAGCTTGAGTGTGTTATGCAATTTTCAATGGACATATTCTCAGTTCAAATGAATGTCTTTTTATCTTAGAGTCTGATGACGAGTATTTTGATGCTGAAGAGGGGGGTGCACAGACTGGTGATAGTATTCGAGGTTCAGAACTAAAAAAAGCTGCAGAGGTCCCAAATGAGGAGCTCATTAATCTTTTACTCAAATTTGAAATGAAAGAGGTGTGTATTTTTTTGTCCGTAAATAAAGTATATTAAAAATATATTAAGAATGTGCTTGCTTGCGCGTGCGCGCGCGCGCGCGCACACACACACACACACACACACACACAAAGTTTCAAAAAAAATGAAATGTAATTTTTTAAAAACATCTAAGAATGATCCATAGTATATCTGATCTATTTGGGAAAAGCTCTTGAATCTTAGTTTAGGATTTGCTTTTCTGCAGAAAATTCCTATGACATATTTACCTCAATTTTTTTAAACTTTCACTTTTGAGCTAAATAATGTTGTTTATTATCATGTTTATAATTTGGAAAAATGTAAACAACCTAAATTTCCAATATGCTCTTTCTACCCTTTAAAAGTCATGTAGTAAAAGGAAACATGGAAAGATGTTCACAATATATTATCATTCAGGAATAAAAAGATTACAATACCAATGATATTATAATTACCTTTAAAATTTTATGCATATATTTTATGTGATAAATGACAGTGTTCCTCTCTGGGTGGTGGGATTACAGTTTTTCATTTTTACCTGTTTACTTTTCCATATATTCTAAATTTTCTATAATTTATATTGCTTTGATAATAAAACACAAAATATCTAAAATGGGGATTTTCCAATCTAACATGGAGATTTTCCTTATTGAATGTTTTATATCTCAAAGTAAAAGCATGTCCTAAAATATGTCAGAAATACCAGATTTTAATTGTGTGTACAAACCTAAGTATTACCGGTATTTTTTTGAAGTAAGATGTGTTCTCTACCTTTACCCTTTTTGACATTTCTCTTTCTCTCGTACTCTCATCTAAAATAGTAGTAAGTCCCTTGACTCTAACTTCAAAGTACATTCACATGATTGCTGTTCCCTTCCACTGGTACTGTACTGTCCAAGTCACCATCATCTTTTGCTTGGATTATTGCAGTAGCCTCTTAACTGTCTCTGCTTCCATTAGGTATTCTGTTCTCCTTATAATAGCCAAAGTGATTCTTTTAAAGTGAAAATCAGATCATGTACTGTTCTGCTCAGAACCCTTCACTGGCTCAATCAGAGTAAAGGACTTCTCATGTCCTGCAAGTCCTTACACAAGTCACCCCATGTAACCATGTACTGTTCTGCTCAGAACCCTTCACTGGCTCAATCAGAGTAAAGGACTTCTCATGTCCTGCAAGTCCTTACACGAGTCACCCCATGTAACTGTTTGGCTTCATCTTCAATTCTTTCCCACCTTGCTCACTCTGCTCCAGCTGTATTTTATTTATTCCTTCAGTAAGTATTGAACATATGCCATCATGTACCAGACATTGTTTTAGATACTGAAAAACAGCAGTGAGCAAAATTCTTGCCTCATAGAGCTTACACTTGTCTTTTGTTCTTCCTTATATATCAAAGCACATTCTTTGTGCTTGCTGTTTCCTTTGCCTGGAACACTTTTTTCCTGCATGGCTTGATTCTTTACCTCCTGCAGGTATTTGCTCAAATGTCATCTTATTGGGAGGCCTGACCAACCAACATGAGATGGCAACCTTCACTTTCCCCAATTTTCTCTAGAATGTAAGCTTCGTGAGAACAAGGACCATGTTTGTTTTGATCACTCTGCTGTCCTTAGTTGCTGGCGTAGCCTGATACATGGTAGATGATGCTCAATAAATATTTTATTGAATGTTGAATAAATGGACTGAAGTGGAAAACAATCAGAACCACTGAAGAAAAAAATAGCACTGCTGTTTGAAATATTTTTCCCAGCATAACTCTTTTTTTTTTTTTTTTGCCATTGTGAGGTTTTAAATGTTTCTGTAGTGAGATTTATCAAATTTTTTCATTATGTCCTAGTTTTAGTATATGTTTAGAAAGTTCTCCTTTGTTACAAAAATATTTAACCATGATTTTATATATTTATGATTTCATTGCATTCATTTAAATCATTTATTTATATGAAACTTATTTTTGTATATCGATTTTGTACTTAGTACCTTATTGGACCTGTACTATCTTATTGTTATCTTACTGTTTTTCAGTTGACAGTCCTGGTTTTTCTTAAGTATATAATTATATCATCTGCTAATAATATTAATTTTTGCCTTTTGTTCAGAATTTATATTGTTCTGGTTACTATTGCTGCCTGTCAAGTTACCCTAAAACTTATTAGCTTAAAATAAAACAGCTATTTTATTTTGCTCACAATTTTGTGGGTTAGAATCTGAAAGGGCCTGGCTGGATAACTTTGTGTATAGTCTTTTTGGTTGCAGTCAGTTGTTAACTTGGGCGGCAGTCATCTGAAGTCTCAGCTGGACGTCCATGGTGGCTCATTCATGGGGCTGGCAGTTCACACTGGCGTTTGTATTGGGAGGTCACCTGGGACTATTGACTGAAACACTCATGGCCTCCCCAGCATGACAATCTCAGGATAGCTGAGCTTTTTACATGGTAACTAGCTTACCCCAGAGTGAGCATTCCCAGATGGGAGTTGCATGGCCTTTTTTGACATCAAAAGTCATTATAGTATTACTTCTTCTGTCCTCTATTGATTGAAGCATTCAGAAGCCTGCCCAAATTCAGAATATGGGGATAAAGACCTCTACCTCTTGATGGGCATATCAAAGAACTTGCATTTTAAAAAAATTGCTGTGTATATGTTTTATTGGCTAAATATACTCGTTGTCATTTCCAGAATTATTTTAAATAGTAATATGATGATGAACATTCTTGTCCTTTTACTTTAATAGGAATGCTTCTTTTATAAAACATCAAACATGATTTTTGTTTTGAGATACAGGTTTAAGAAAATCATATTAAGGAAGAATTCATACATTCCTGTTTTACTAAATTTAAAATAAGTCAATCATGGATGATAAATTTCATCGTGATTTTTATAGAGGTACTTATATTCTCAATGACAGAATTTAAGATGATGATTTTCAATTATGTTAAATAACTTTGTGGTAGTAGAGGGATATGAACAAAGTTTTCACTATTCTCATGGTGATAGATATGGAGAAAGGTTTTGTTTTTGTTATTTTAAGTATGATTCAAGCTTCTTATCAACTTTTCATTGGCTGTGCTAATTCTTTTAGGTGATTTTGGAATTTACTAAACAACAGAAAGAAGAAGATACAATTCTAGTATTTAATATTACTCAGTTAGGAACAGAGGCTACAGTGAGAACATTTGACTTAACGGTGATATCTTATTTAAAGAAAATCAGCTTGGATTACCATGAAATTCAAGGTAAAAGTCAAAAAATAGAAATAATAGCCAGTAATAAAAATAGCACTTTTGAGTTTCTGAAACACTTTCATTTATGTAATAATATTTATAACAAAAAATAGCTAGTACTGTTCTAAGTGCTTTACAAATAATAACTCAGTTGATGCTTATAATAATGCTCTGAAGTAGGCAGTTTTATTATCTCCAACTTACTATGTAAGTAAGACATAGATTGGTTATATAATTTACCCATAGTCACACAGCTAGTGAGTGGCTGAACCATGATGTAAGAAACCCTGAGGTCTGGCCCTAGGGCCTATATTCTTAACTACTATGATCTATTGCCTCAGAGAGTCCATGTAAATCCCCCTGATATAGGGAGCATTATTCCCATTTTACAAACAAAGAAAGGCTAAATAAAGATTAAATGCCTTACTTATTATCATATCTGTCATGAATGGCGACACCTAGTGTTCATCTCTGGTCTTATGATATTGAAGGCTACCTTCTTTTTGTTAAGGAGTGTTCATTTATCACAAGAAGTACCAGGTTATAAAAATAAAAATGGTAGGATGTAAAGTTAACTCTTTTCAAAGCTCTTATAGTTTATTGATTTCAGCGTATGTCTTGTGTGAGATATTTGAGGCATGAAGGAATGGATGAATCTACAGTAATTAGTATTTACTAATATATGCTTAATGCTTTAATAAAGTTTTGTGATTTTTTAATATTTGAAACTAAAACCTTAGTTTAGAAGAAAAATAGTGTTTTTTATCTTAGTAATTTTCAATAGACACAGTGTTAGATGGAGTTTACATTATGTCTTGAGGAGAAAAAATATAAATAATAAATTTTCTAGGCTATTTTTTCCTTTAGGGAAGGTTATGACCTTGGAGGTCAAGGGATAATTCTGAAATGTCTCAGAAGCAGGAGTTATAGAGCTGCAAGTAATAAAAGGTAGATAAAATGGTGGGTCAATCACTTCTCCCTCCACAGCTTTTAGAGGCAGTTGCTTGGTATATTTGAATAAGGGTGTAGAGGACATCTGGTAGTACCTGTTGTTTTTAAGTTAAGAAGTTTAACAATTCTCCTCCCTTAAAAAAAGTCTTTTCTCTTCTATGTAAGTTGCCTTTCTCAGTTAAACAAAGGAAAATTACTTAAATTTATTTAATATAAGTAAATTATTTGTTCGTAGAATTTTAGAGCCCGACAGGATATTAGAGATTTTTCTGGTACAATGTCCTTGTTATGTAATTGAGGAAATTGAATTTAAATAGTTTTTAGTAAGAATATAGAGATGAAATAGAATTTATATTTCTGGATTCTTACACCTGTAGTCTCACTATTGCCCCACAAATGCACGTAATGGCCTTAAAAATTTCTAGAGAAGTTTTGATTATATTTGAACACAGATACAAAATCAAATGAAAATAAATACACATGTTTTTAAGTAAGTTAGATGCCAAATGTAAGGGATTTGGATTGGTTTATTTCTTTGCCAGTGATGACCTTAGCATTTATGCACAGATATTCTTTTAAAGCTTAATTAGCAAATTTTTTAAAAAAGAAAAAGACATATAGAAAGTTCCAAAATTAAAAATGAGCAATTTATTTGAAACAATTTTTTTAAAAAAAACTTTTTCTTTAATCTAGGATCCAAAAAGAAGCCTCTTCATTTGATTAGCTCTTCTGACAAACCTGGATTAGATCTTTTAAAAGTGGAATATATTAAGGTAAGGACCATAGAATAATTATATACTTATTGTATAATCTAAACTATACTCTTGAAAGGAATAAGGTGACAGTACATTACTAAAGTTTCTGGATGTGTACCACAGTTTTTAATTATAGGAATATCTCTTGTTTCTTTTTCCATTTGTACATCTTCTTTCTCTTTCACTTAAGTACAGGGATATTACAAAGCCACTAAGCTTCTTGTCCCCAGAGATGGAAGCTTGGGATAAATTAGGTATTACTTCCATCTTCTGGGGCATTTTCACATACCTACGCTGGTTGTATATGTAGGTGACATTTGGCTGAGAGTATCCTACATCAAAAAAGATAAAGTCAGATTGAATTGGGTTCAGAAGAGAACTGCCAGAATTGGGAAGGAACTCAAAAATATATTGTAGGAGAAATGCTGAAGGAACTGGTGGTATTTAGCTTTATTCAAGATTAGTTGATTTGTTTAGTCATTCAACAGCTATTTATTGAATGTCTGTGTGCGTTACTGAATGTCTATACTGTTAGGCACTTGGGATACAGAGATGAAAAACATTCCCTGTCCTCAAGAAAATTTTAAACTGGTAGGGAGATAGGTATGTAAACAACAACTAAAATATAATGTGATTGATTCTCTGATAAAAGCACAAAGCTGAGAGGCAGGGAAACGAGCCAGGCCAGGAAACTTCTCACAGGAGGTAATCCTTTGAGCTTGAATTTACTATTTTGTTCCCAAGGACAGAACTAGGACCAGAGTGTCGTTATGATGGGAGATAGGTTCAGTATTGTTAAATCAGTTTATCTGAAGATTGAATTTGTAAGGAAATGAGGTTTCTTTCACCTGAGATATCAAAAAATAGGCTTGCTGAAGACTTACAGAGGGATTGAAGCATTAGGTGATGGATGGACTACATGATCTTATACCTTCCAACCTTCAGAGTTCGTCATTCTGACACCTGACTGAAGTTTCCCAGAAATGAATATCCTCCAGTGTTTGAAAAGGAGAACATATTTGCACAATTATAATAATTATGTGGATGTAGGCTTAAACTAATGACAATTAAATATATAATGTACTTAAAAATACATTTATAACTAAATATAAAGAAATTAACCAGAGATTATAAATAAGTGATATATTTACTTTGGTTTTAATTTCTTCTTTCAAACATTTGTTTCCTTTTTCAGGCTGATAAGAATGGACCTAGTTTTCAAACAACTTTTGAAAAAACTGAACAAACACTTAAGGTAAGAAATTCCATTAAAAAAAAATATCCTATTTGCTAGTATCCTCTGAGGAATATTGACTGGGTAACTTTTTTTGGATCTTGATTATGTCATCAATTAACCTTGTAAGGTACTTATTATGATCTGTCTTTATGATTCATCTTAGTAATGCTGTTGTTTTGACTTACTCAATCACATCCTAATGTCCTTAAAAGTTTGAGTATTATTTCTGAAGAAGGGAATGCTATAAACAGGGGACCTTCAATTTACAAAGAACAAGGTTATAAACAAACCAAACTACATACCATCATTTAATGCAGGGGTGAAAAAGTTTATAAAATACAAGGAGAGATGTTGAGTACTTTTGAAGCCATACTACTTAGGTAGTAGTACAGAGAAAGAAGAGGCAAAATATACTTGTGGGTGAAATTAAAAAGAAAATGAGACAGGTGAGTTTTAGATCCCATTTTTGAGAGATGAGAGAATCTGTTGTAATATTGTGAACCTTCCTTTTTACAGTTTTTAAATCCATTTATGCCTCGCTCAGCCAGTGAGCGGGAACCGGTCTATACGTGGGATCCGAACCCTCGGACAGGAGCGCCGCCGCGCTTCCCAAGCGGCGCACTATCCATTGCGCCAACGGGCCAGCCCTAGATCCCATTTTTGAGAGATGAGAGAATCTGTTGTAATATTGTGAACCTTCCTTTTTACA